ACACTTAGCTCGAGTCCTAAAACAACAACGACAATTCAGCACTTCTACATTGGCCAAATCTTAAGTCAGAAAAGGCTGTTTTCATCTTGTGAAGATGAGTCCAACTTGGCAACCGGAGGGCGCGTTAAATCAAGCAGAGCCTGTGAAAACCTTTATAAAACCTGGCTGATTTTCAGCAGAGAAACATCACACGGCACCTTCCAGGAACCGCAGCAAAAACACACAGGTGGTCATGGTTTCCACGGCATAACACACACACACACCTAAAGATAAGATGATTACCTCAGACGTCGCCAAAGACTGTTGTCCTTAGTCGATTGTTGTACAATGACAATACATGATTTACATGATTAAAGAAGTGTCACTTCACCACCTGGAGCCCATCTGCTGCACACCATTATAAATATTCATCATCAGCCCAATTCACAAAGGCACGAGGAATTAACCTTCACTAAATGCTGTCAATTACAAACTAAATTTGAGGAGTTTAGGCTCCGCTGAGAGCAAATCAAAGGACGTAGACATGTGGCAGCCGACTGTTGGATCTGTCTGCCTGCTTTCTTGGACGGGTCCGAGGCCTCTCAGGTACAGTATGTAACCAGGTGGATCCCAGGTGCTCACTGACATCGCATGAGGTTCTGTTGCTGCACAAATGGAGGGGCACCACCATCTGGGTATCTCATGTATGTTAATGTAATACGTTTCAGTCAGATGTATCAATTCTCTTCTCATAGGGTCAATATGTTGTCAGGGACAACAGAGAGGTTAGTGTCTTTGCAGTGTAGTGGAGGCAGTATCTCCGCCAGTCACGTGAAAGACACCGGTTCGATTCCCCGACGAGGTGCCATTAACTTTGTGTCCAACTAGATTGGTTGTGGGTTTGATCCCTCTATGGCCCAGCTTGATTACACACTGTTTATACATCTGCCTTCCATACAGAAGGTCGTGGGTTCGTGCCCCAGGGGAACCATGTACTTGGTGCTCCAGATCTGCTGTTAACACAACAATTTCCTCAGTGGGATCAATAAAGTTCTCTCTCTTTTTTTTAAAGAAGTCACTTAACGATTTGCTAATCACATGATCATTCCAATCCCAGTTAGTATCGACTCTCCGTGTGTCCTCTCCGTGTCTCCTCTCACACCTCTGTTCTATTGACCGCAGCCTGCGTGTGAAGTGAAGGACAAAAAGTCACACCAACGGTATAAGGCAATATCAGTGAGAGATTCCTGGGTGGTGTGTAAAGTGGATCCACTGGGCTTTGATCCAAGTACATTCTGTGTGCTTTACAAAATGAACAGACGACAACAGAGAGTTAAAGTTGTTCAAGTGCTCTGGAGGAGGAAAGCTTCCGTAACTGTTTTATATTGTTATTATGGTCATTATATGTTATTGAATTTAGGGGAAATTCACCTTTATATCATGCAGAAAGCACACTTAAATGTGTCATAAATAAATAAGACCAAAATGATAACACACCATTATGGGTGAGCCCAAGTCTCTATCTGAGGAAATGAAGGAACTGGTTTGGTTTTCATGGTCATTTAAGGAAAGGGTTCTAACAGGGGAACCCTCTGTTCTGTCCCTGATGATTTGAAGGAGGTTGTCAAAATAAAAGGGTTTTCTTTTGATGCAATGACAGAAATGAGAGAGTGAGTGTGGAGGAAGCTGTATTATAAATCATGATATGAAGTAAAACGACTAGAATTAAACACAGAAGAAGAACAAATCACAGCAACACCGCATGGAACATCTTCACCTAGTATTCAAAGAAAGAGAAATAGGCTCAAAATCTACTGTGGCTCCCCCTGATGAAGGGAAAAAGACAAAAATGATGATGCCTTTTAGCTTTACAGAGGGAGGCCCACGGTGTAGAACGTCTCCCTTTGACTTTTCTATTGCTTTAAACCTCTTCGTAGCCAAAGCTAATTTCCCTTTCTGGTTTTACAGGTGTGCATTTCTCTAAAACATTGACATTAGTTTTCAATTTCACAAACGTAACAGAAGGCAGTGATGTTTACTTACAGCCTCTCCAGCAGTCTGAGGTCTTGGAAAGCTCCTCTCTCGATGACACTGATTTGGTTGTCCTCTAGATGACTATAATGACGGCACATAACGGGAAAAAAGGAAGAAAACACAGTGTCGGTTAGCATCGAGCAGTCAAAAAACTAGACATTTTTAAGGATTTGGAAACACAGCCTGGTCGTTCCCATTACTAGAAAATGTGCCTGAATTCTGGTAGGCATTTCTTCAAAATGTCAGAGTATAAATATCACATTAAGAGACGGCCAGGTGGTGGAGAACATGAATCCAGCAGCAGTTTTCCCCGCTGACCGGCAGGTTCACACCAGAGGAAGAAACAGCAGATAAATCTCATTTTCAGGCCAGTGCAAACAGTGAAATGAGCTGTTGGCCCGAAACAGAGACGTTTTAAACATGGTGAGAGACACTTGCACTTTTAAAAAAAATTGTTGTATAAACAGGCAATCAGCGAGCTGAACAAATGAATCTGCCGTGAAGCAAATGTTAGAGACACGCAGCGCTTACACAAATGTCACCGTCCAGCTCGGCCAAAACAAACAATTAAGCCTCCATCCCTCTTCTCCTCCATCCCTGAATGGATACCATCTCCATTACTTTCCTGCCTTTCCAGTGTTGATCCCAGTTTAACACACTTTCAGCTCTCTCTGGGTGCTGCGCTGTTCTTTCGGGGCAATCTAAGGTTTTCCAGATGGAAGAGGGAAGCGGCGAGAGAACATCTACACAGATATGTGTTTATACTTTGTGTCGGAGGATGTTAAGAGTGACAACTCCAAGGAGGGAGATTTATGGAGGAGAGAGGCTGATGTGAGTGGAGGAGGCAGAGAGAGGGAGGAGGGTGAAAATAAAGAATCCCAGGATGACAGGATAGATTGAGCAAAAGAGATTAAAAAATAGGGACATGGAGCCAAATAAGAGACAAGGAGATGTATCAAAGAGACACTGTCTGGCTCTCACATTTGAACCGCTGTGGCACGACCTTCCTTTAAAAGGCTCTTTTTTTCTTCTTTTTACTCTTTTTAAAGACACTTCACACATGAACTTGTACTACAGCCATGAATCCCTGCTCGTTTAAATCTCATTACACAAACAAGCTGGAAATACACGTGAACAATTTGGAGGCACGAAAACGTATTTAGCCTTAAATGCACTTTTTATTTACATGAAAATGTGGGACTTTTTTACATTTTTACAAACCTCTGGATAAAGATGTTTTGGGACAAATATCGATCAACAAGTTATGTTGATTTTTGAGGGTTTTTTTTCCCGTGTTGCACACCTGATATAATGCTGTATAAGCTGATGGATAATTTCTTTTTTTTTTTTTTTTAGGTTTTTTTTCCTGTGTTGCACACCTGATACAATGCTGTATAAGCTGATGGGTAATTCTTTTTTTTTTTTTTTTTATGTGCAGTCCCACAAGATCTTTGATTGCCTGCCTCTGCGTGGGTGGAACACATTGACGATGTTTTTGCCGCAGAATCCTACAAGATTTTTCACATGACTAAATCAAAATATATTAATCTTAGTCTCATTTTCACTGGTTTTACAAACCCTTTTCCTGTAAATGAAATATTTTTTTTCAGCTTCATTTGTCAACACTACACAGCCTCTCCCCCTCCCACTCATCAGTATGTGAATAACTGAAATATTTAATCCCCTCCCACTCAGTATGTGAATAACTGAAATATTTAAAATACATTCATTTAAAATGAAGCAGGTTTTTATTATTTTTATTTTATTTCATAATTCACAGATGGGATTGTTGAACACCAATCCATGTTGGAGATCCGATTTCTGGGGATGAAGGGAGATTGGGTTCCGACTAAAATCGTGACTTGGAGATTGAAAATTCTGACATGACTTCTTCACTTTTGGAGTTTTGGTTCTAAGTTTCTAAGATTGCAGGTGTGTCTGCTAAATGTGCACAGAGCGCTCACAACACACTTGATTGATTCATTCTGAACGAATGCCAGTTTTCATGCAGAATGTTGCTATTAAAACTGCAAATCTGAAGGCTTCACAACAGGGTTTCTACTCTGCAGCCAGGTGGCTGAGTCGACTCCCTATACACAGGCTTTGATCCCAACAATAAACACATATCATGAGCACGGCCCTGCCTTGAGCCTGGTTTCCATCAATTATAGTCCCGGACTATTAATCCAGCATGTTTCCCTCCAAAATACTGCACATCCTGGAAAAAGTTCAATTAAGACATAACTCTGAGCACGTATGGGCTTTGTTTGTCCAAACGATCTCAAATCAACCTCATGCTGATTCAAGATGAGAGATCACAAGCCAAACACATGGTGATGGGATCAGTGCAGACATATTGTTCAGATGAAATACTGTTTTTGTATTTGTTCGTTATCAGACATCATCATCATCATCAGCAGCAGCAGTTTATCAGACATCATCATCATCATCATCATCAGCAGGGACGATGAAGAGATGACAGCAAACACAACGTTTGCGTTCGTGGGGCGCGGGTAGTTTAATATCTTTTGTATTAAACCATATCAGAGAGTATTGGCTGCCATCATAGAGAGGACAATGACTTCAAACTACCTCATAGAAAACTCTGAGCCTCTCTCTTTGAAGACTCGTCTCCGGGGAGGAGAGGCTTTATGTGTTTACACAAAGAGAAGGTGAAACCACACCTCAGTCAAATGTTGAAAGTTAGACCAGATTTTTTTATTTAGTTCATTTTTTTTTTCAAAATGACTCAAATTCTCCACAACCTAAAGAGTAAAGTAGAAGATGTGTCTGAAGATCGAAGAATCCTCAGAACGCTTGATTTTATGAGCTCAAATATTTATACATGTAAAGTTAGTGTAGCGCCAACAGAGCACAACAACGAAGAATTGCCTTCAGTCGTTTGTAAAACTCCACCACTCACTTCAATGTTTCGCTGTTAAAATTGAATTAAAATGAACTTAAATCAAACCTTTATCTGTAACTGTTTGGTCATGTGACTGTTGGCTTCATCCAGGAACACCTCGCAGCTACCGGCCGTTTCCAGGAAGAACGGTAAAAGCATTTAACTACATGGAAACTTCAAATTTACAGGCCAGTGTGTTTGTGTGAACCTGTTGTGTGTGTGTGTGTGTGTGTGTGTAAAAGGGAGAGAAAAAGACAAAGGGGGAGTTCTAATAACAAAACAGTTAGGGTCAAGGCTATGCTGCTTTTGTCTGTCCTTTCATGTGCACGTGTGTGTGTGTGTGTGTGTGTGTATGGGGCTGAATGTGCACTTTCTCAGCCTCCGCTCTTTCCGAAGCCTCTCCTCCCCATTTCTTTAACAGATTCGGAGTGGTGAAATGTCACAGCAGTTTATCACCAACCACATAAAACAAACTGCCGGCCCACCCCAAACAAACACACTGTCTCACTTGCACACAAACACACACAAACACACACACACACAAATAAAAGGTCCTACTCTGACACTCTCTGTTAATCTGAAATCCTCTCCCTCACAAACACACACACACACACACACTGATAAGAACTCGAACAAAAATTCAACATAAAAACCAAACCTCACTCTGGTCCTTACAAGTAAAGCTACACATACACACATGCGCACACACACGCACGCACACACAGATGCACCAACTTAGGTCCAGTACTCAAAAAAAGGTTTGCGATGGAAGTGTATTTTTATCTGCCTGCTCTGGTTAAAACTGAGTGAGGAGGGAAGCTGCAGGCGGCCAACAGTGATTATAGTTATTACAGTCCTCCTTACACACACACGCACGCACACACACACACACACACACACGCACACACGTGTAGTGGAGCCACTTCACTCAGAAGAAGGAGAGAGCCCTTGAAGTCGTTAGGCCAGCAGAGAGGACACGAGGAGTCACACTCCACGGAGAACAGGCGTGTAGATGTGATGACTAAGACCGGTCGGAGGGACGTGAGTAATGACTCTAACGTCTGACTGGACGGAGGAGGACCAGTTGAAGAATGGACAGCCTCCAGGGCTTAGGCCACAGCTTCAGGAAGGAAACGCTGTCGTTTGGAGATGTGTGTTAACACCTGTGTGTCTCCGTGTCCCCTTTTCAACGTCCTGCACCATGTATCTGAGCATCAAACTTACAGTCACTGCCTGTAGCTGGAGAAGGTTCTAACCTCAATCCCAGGATGGTCTCAACAATAACAGAAGATGATAACATTGTAGCACATGAACACATTGGGATTCAAGCAGAAACAGGAAGTAGAGGAAGACTTCTTATCCTTTTGAAAGATATTTGGACGTGACAGAGTTATTTGAAATACAGTGCAATAACCTGTACAACCACGCAGCTGCATCTGTGGACCAAACAGCTAACTGTAGATCACAAGGTTTTAGATCAACTCCAGGCTGACTCAGACCTTTAGTGGTTCCATAGTGTAGTGGTTAGCAGCCTGTGTGGTTTTTAAATACTTTTTTTTAAATACTCCATTCATTTTTATTAATTTTTCAATAGAACACAACTAGCTTAGCATAACAATACTGCAGCATCAGCAAATAAATAGTATATTGTATATAATATATTGTCATGTTATTTTGGAGATGGAAGAGAAACTGAATATCACACAATTACCAATGCACATCATGGCATCACGTCACTCATTTCTCTGTGTCTTTTGCTGCTTCTCTAACAACGTTTGTGGCCCCGCAGGTTATCATGAGAATGTCAGCTCGCTCTGTCTCTGTTACAGTTTGTTACCTCATAAATTTCCACCAATTACAAACCTCCCACCCCCCTCGGGCCCCAAAAGCCACAACGACCATCATTAAGAAACTAATTAATTTGTATGTTAAATAGCCCTGTTTCCAGCTACAGTGCAGGTCTTGTAGATAAATATAGCATTTGTCTAATTACTCCAGCATGACGGCCTTTTTCTTAATGGGATTCCTCATAAAGTCACAAATATGAGGCGTGAGACTCAACATGGAAAACGTGATTGGGGGAAAGGCCAGTAAAAAGAGTGGAATCAACCTTAGACAATGGAATGACTTACACCTAGCTAACTCTTAACTCATTTGTTGGATCTGGAAAGTTTAAAGCAAGAGGTGCCAAAGAGAAAATCACAGAAAGGAAGAAACTTACAGGATCCGTAGGTTTTTAAGTCCAGAGAAGTCCACCTTGGTGATTCTGGTGATGTTGTTCCTGTTCAAATCCCTGGGAATGGAGAGAGAAGAAGAGAGTTTAGGACAGTTTGACAACATGCATTTATCACAATGTCAATTTTTCAGTCAAGACCCGAACATTTCAATCCGAGTCTGGCCACAGATTTTTTTTTTCTTACAAATGAAATAAACTTAAAGAGGATGGAGCTCATTTGTATGCAGAGCTAAATCCAAATCTAAATCACTTTTGCTTGCGTTAAAGTAACGGTTTGAATCGTCCGCGGTCGTCATCCTGGACCCAAACGCTACAACAATGACTCGAGTGAGGTACAACACACTTGAAGAATGCACTATTGCTTCTAGGAACTGCTAAAAAAGCCAAGGACTAGCGTGGTCGCCCACCGACTGTGTGTGTTGTGTGTGACTCTGTTCCACAGTCGAATTAATGACTGTGGCAGTCGAACAAAGCATGAGAGTACCCTGCAGCAAACCAGGCCACACACATCCAAACAACAAACACGCACAAACAAACACAAATGCTCCTGTTACTCCGGCACCGTGAAATTTCATTCAGACGGAGATTAGGGCTACGGTGATTTATCGAGGAGGAAACTTTCCAGGAAGACAGAATAATAATTAAGTGTGATGAAATTATTTTTTCTCTTTCCATCATAACAGCTTAAAAGCCGATCATGTTTCCTGGCTGTCATTGAATCTGTTTTCACTGCCAGAGCACGGTATGTGTGTATATACTGAAATATGACTGGGTGCGTGAGTGTGTTTTGGTTCCCGTTATGCAGCTATAATGTTTATTGAAACGCTGTCGCACTGGAAGAATTAGGGCAAGGAAAAACACACACAGAGAGAAGAGACGGCAGACAAACATCCCACACAATTTTCTCTCCTATTTCACACAGAGACGCTGCGCACACACACACACACACACATTCATGGACAGATAAACAGCCAGTCTAGTCTCACCCTGGCGGCCTCTGTGTGTGTGTGTGTGTTTTTCATAATACACCTAAACATTTATAAATCTGATTTAAGACCATATTAGGTTTCAAAAGGCTTCCACAGGCTGCCATGGCAGGGAGCACTAATAAGAGCCATACCCTGGTGCAGAGGAGGGCAGCACTTCCTGAAGCCCAGAATGCAGCTCGTGTTCCACGAAGGGGCCTCAGGTTAATGAATAGTGACTGTATCTTGACAAATAAAATAGGAGCTGGGATTTTAAAAAATGATATTACGGCAATTTCCCTACTACAGAAGCTGAGGCTGAAGCTGAGGACTGCACCGTGTCGGCCAATATTTGACCTGATGAAAGAGACTCATCCTGTGAGGTCATGGAAGATCATTGGTCAATAGATGCTAATGTCAAGATTCCCTCAATTTATGATGATGATCACAAAGGTTTTTGTAAAATGGTTCTCCATGACAGTGTTTCACAAACGTTTTTTCTGGCGACCCATATTTTTGAAGTCACAAACTTTCGCGACCCAAGTTAATAAACACTATTCGTAAACTCCTGGGAAACATGATGCGAGACGACCCAAAAAAACCCCAAAACCTCTTCCGACCCATCTAAGGGTTGCGACCCAGTCTATGAGACGTTAAGTCAGTTCCGTAAATTGTGAGAACCTCACTAAATGGCACTGTTCAAGTCATGAACCACCTTTACATTATGTGACATATGCCAAAAGCAAGGTCTGCGGGCCTCTTCCGACCCATCTAAGGGTTGCGACCCAGTCTATGAGACGTTAAGTCAGTTCCGTAAATTGTGAGAACCTCACTAAATGGCACTGTTCAAGTCATGAACCACCTTCACATTATGAGACATATGCCAAAAGCAAGGTCTGCGGGATGAATCTGGCCCGCCACGTCATTTTTTGCGGCCCACCAGGGTTTAACATGCTAATGGATGTCTTAAAATAAAGATCCTTAGTATACTGGTGGTTCCACAGTGTAGCGGTTATCATGTCTGTTGACACATCTGCCTCAGAGGTCGTGGGTTTGAGCCCCACTTAGACTGGTTTAAATGTCTGACCCTGTAGTGATTAAGTTTGTGTATCCCCTCGTGAGTCGGTTCTCCATCATCAACAAGATTTCCATAATGAGAATGTTATCTTTAATCTCAGATGCAATGAAAACAGTATTACAGCATTGGATTACAGTACAGGAGAGATACTGCTTAAAATGGGCTGCGTGTTCATGTGTAAATTATTGAGTATTTCTGCCCATCGTCACTTGATCACAGATCAACATCCTCTCCTCCATTTCCATGTTATCGTCCATTGCTGCACACATTTGGTAACAATCACACTTTTTTTCTTTTTATCTCTCACCTCATTACTCTGTTTCACATCTTTTATTCACCAAGTCCCTCCAGTGTCTATCTGGAGGTCCTTTATAACCTGTGTTCCCACCTTCTATTTTTTTTCTTTCACATTTTGTTCTCCAGCCTTTCTCTCACATCCTATCTCCCACTGTTTCACAGTTGACTAAACACTTTTCCTCAGCCGTCCTCTGTTTTCTTCTCTTCCTCTAATCTTCTCACTTTTATCTCAATCTTTCACTGTTTTTTTTTTTTATCTGATATATTTTTCCAACCCCTAATCGCTCCATCCTTATCTTCATCTCTTCCTTTGTACACAGTGGAAACTTGTGCGCTCACCAGTGAAACTGTAGTCAAACAAACAATCAGGATAAAGGACCAGGTGTTAGTGCTGCTCTACCAGGCTACTCTAAAAAATCACATCCTGAAATCTGAGAACGTCATTGGCATAAACAAAGTACACAGAAGCAAAATAAATAAATAAATAAATAAATATATAGACACACATGCCCATTTCCCCGATGTGATTTGATCAAAGAATTAAAAAAAAAAAGGCCCAAAAGAAAACAGTTGTAAATGGTAGATGTGCTATTGTTGTCTCAAAATAAAAGCAAATAAAAAGCACCTGGCTCTAAACTGTTTATGACTTCTATTCTTCTGGTTAAGGCTTTGATTTTAATGCTGATGATTTGCAGCCCCCTCTCTGTCCACTAGGGTATCCAGCCCAAGGCAGTTCAAATTTAAACCTCTACTTTAAACTGAACAATATATTAGGGATATAATGAAAATAAATGGACAACAAAGCAAATCCAAAGTACACAGAAGTACAAAGACGCCAGTGCTCACAAAAAAAAACAAAGGACTGAACACATGGTAGAGCAGGTGCAGAAAATGAAAATGAAACAATTGGGGAGTCACTTAAGAAAGTGATTGAGATGATCAAATCCTCAATATTTTAAATAATACAGAATCTGGGAAGAAAAGAAACTGGAAACATAGTGAAATCCAATTTGACGGCAGCTGAGGATTTAAGTGGACTAAATTAAATGGGCTACCCTCCTTCCTGCACCTGGTCTGCTGCAGCTTAGAGATCTATCCCACCAAGCAATAAACCAAAGTAAAATTTAACTGACCAGCTGGTGGTCAGATGACTAACAGGGGGCTTTAGTAGAAAAGAAAAGCACTGACCATTGTTTGTTTCCATTAGGAGCACAGCTTAGGTGTGCATGTGTGTGTGCATGTGTGTGTGCGTGTATGTGTGTGTTTGCAACAAGGGGATAAGACAGGAATGCAAACAGCAGGTGTTTAGGGGAATTAATTTACCATTCGACAAGTGAACAAAAGCCACAGAAAGATCCCCACCTGGCCCCACCTTAGACAAGGGAAGTCAGTGACCCATACAGTCTGCCTGTGGACCAGCAAACCAGGGGACTGAATCCGTACCAGTGTCTGAGGAGTGGAAAACCACATCACATGATTGTGGTTACTAATGAGCCAGTATAAAAGGTCAACCTTTGACAAAGCCTTGGTCAGAACTGACCAATTAAGCAATTAACCAATTTGAGCAAAATGAAGCAAAAGCAGGTTTAAATAAATAAACAGTCACCGGATCCTTCCTAAGGTTACAAAAATCAGACACTGACATTGAAAGATGGAGAAAATCAGGACTTTCTTAGCACATTTATAGAAGATGGCAACATCTAACAACGCAGGTCGTAAACCGAGAACCTTCAGTCAAACCTGACTAATGCAGCAGCAGAACAAACACGTTTTACAAGTCGGGTTGAATGGTTGCCAGTAGTTTTGCGAGGTTCTGTCTGGGTTCTGTATTTTCTTCACCCTTGATCTCCGTTTCCCTCCATTTGGGACAACAATGAAAACCAACAATTAAGCAGCGCAAACAGTTTCCTGTCTTTGTTCTCTCCGACTCCGACACTGTGACATTTCCTCTTTTCACTTCTGCGCTCCGTCTATCTCTACTCAACATCCTTATCACTCCATCCTTTCCCTTTCATGCTTTGTTGCTCCACTCCTGATGCTTCATTTCCGAATGCATTCGTTTCCTGCTCTAATCTCCTGCTATTTTCCACGATGCTTGTTCCCCCTTCACTCTCTCA